CCCAGACACACACAGAACCCAGACACACACCGCGCACCCAGACACACACAGCACCCCCAGACATACACAGCACCCCCAGACACACACAGCACTCCCCAGACACAGCACCCCCCAGACACACACAGCATCCAGACACACACAGCACCCTCACTCACACACACAACACACTCACACACATATACAGCACACACATATATATACATAAAATAATCCTCAGTGAGTTAACAGACAAAGAAAATTAGAAACCTAGAATGTGACAGCAGATAAAACACCCTCACACACAGCACCCCTCTTACATACACACACTGCGCCCCTCACACATACAATAAGTCAAAATATATATATATATATATATATATATATATATACACATACACATACACACACACACACACTACAGCACCCCTCACACTGCACCACTACACACATTACGCTCCAGATACACACTAGATCCCTTAACCTATATGCACTCTTAATCCTCTACACACACACACACACACACACACTGGGTCCTTTACACAGTAGATCTCCTACACACACACACACACACACTACATTCCTTGTCAGCAAACACATACAACATTCTCTAAACACACCCTCTCTGCAACCCCTACACACACTACGTCACCTATACACACACACTTCAGCCCGTATGCACACACTCGCTGCATCCCCTATAAAACTATGCCCCCTATACACACACTCTCTACAGCCCCTAGCCACACATATTACACCACAAACACAAATTAAATTGACCTATTTATACAATACCACACCACACTCTACACACACGCAATCCCACAAGCAGGTTCCAAACATATGCACCATACACTTTCCTGGCCCTTTTGTCCTCTGGTATCCCATTTGTGGAGACACCAGAGACAATTTAAAAGCAAACACAGCGCAAACATGTTATTAAATTTGCTTGCGCTGCGCAGAACAAATTCAGGGCCTTTTTCTAATGCCAGAGCTCTTCAGCAGGGTTCTGGGCATTGAACCAACATGCTCACTTTGAGAGGGGACGTGTTGTCATTAGTGATGACAAAACACACACTCTCTGGCCCCACCCCCTTCTTAGGGGGCCGCTCTGATTGAAAAATGCCCGGGCCGAATTTTTTTCCCAGTCCGGCCCTGGTCACAACTTTCTGTTATATGAGCGTTCTTAGAAGGTTGAGTTTCTATACCTCATACTGCTTACTTTACTTCAAACTCCCTCTGTTTCAGCTTTGTATTGATATCCATATCCATTTACATAACTACTTGAAAATAATATATACATGTAACAATAATAAATGTCTAGTGTTGATCCAATAGACAATGTAAAGCAAGAATGTCAAACTTGCGGCCCACAATGGACATCTTTGCGGCTTGGCGAGCCGCGAGTACATGCTTAGTGTTAAAGCAGAGTAGGCACCTGCTTTTCTCACAATGCAGGTGCCTACTCTGCTAACATTTACCCGACTGGGAGGAGGGCCAGGAGGGTTGCGTTCCTGCTCTCTCGCGCGAGCCATCTGTAGTGAAGCCAGGCGCCGGAATATGACATCATATTCTGGCACCCGGCATCACTAAACTGCGCATGGGGGAGCAGATAGAAGATCCCTACTGGACCCCAGGGAGAGGCCCCACATCAGCTCCCAAAGGTAGGGAGCAATAAAGAAAATGATGTGTGTGTGCAAGAATGTGTGTGTGTCAGTGAGTGAGTGTGTGTGTCTGTGTGTCTGTCTGTCAGTGAGTGTGTCTGTGTCTGTGTGTGTCTGTCAGTGTGTCAGTGTGTGTGTCTGTCAGTGAGTGTGTGTGTGAGTGTCAGTGAGTGTGTGTGTGTGTGTGTCAGTGACTGTCTGTGTGTCTGTCAGTGAGTGTTTCTGTCTGTGAGTGTGTGTGTGTTGGTCAGTGTTGCACTGGCTGCGACTGGATAGTGGAGTACCTGGAGGTGCATGGAGGCAAGCAATGCCACGTCACATTCCGACGTGACATTGACGTGCTCCACCTTCACAGGGTTTCAAGAAGTTGCGGGAGGATCAGATTTGGCACAGGGTGCGGGCAGCACCATTTGGGGTATACCAGAGGCTGGACTCCGAAGTCGCATACTGGCAGCGGCAATGTGAGTAGAGTCTGCTTGTTGGATGGGGGGGGGTGCTGGGATTTAGTAAAGGGGGAGGACTGGGATTTAGTTTATGGGGGGACTGGGATTTAGTAGAGGGGGGCGACTGGGATTTAGTAGAGGGGGTGCTGTGGTTTAGTAGAGGGGGATGCTTTTTTATATATATATATATATATATATATATATATATATATATATATATATATATATATACTGTACTTTTCAAAATAAACCTACGTTTCTATGAAAATGTAAGGAGTTTTTGTGGCCCACATAAACGTAAGCCTTGTTTATGTGGCCCGTGCTAGACTTTGAGTTTGACATGCTTAAAGTAAAAAAATTATAATGTCGGCCGGCTGGGAGGAAGTGACAGCCTGTCACTTCCCTCCAGCGTCATGCAGAGAGACAGCGCGGGAGCTCCAGACCCCTCACTCCCCCCAGCAGGACCAGGACTCCAAGCCACCCTCCTGGACACACAAGTAAGCTAACAGGAGGGTGGCTGGAGATTAAAAAATTTTTTTTTTTTAAATCGCTTGTGTGTGAGTGTGTGTGTGTGTGTGTGTGTAAGTGTGTGTATTAGTGTAAGTGTGTATATTAGTGTCAGAAAGAGTGTGTGTATGAGTGTTTGTGTGTGTATGTGTATGAGTGTGTGTGTGTATGTGTATGACTGTGTGTATGAGTGTTTGTATGTGTGTGAGTGTATGTATGAGTGTGACTATGTGTATGAGTGTGTGTGAGTGTGTGTATGTGTATGCATGTGTGTGAGTGAGTATGAGTGTGTGTGTGTGTGTCAGGGTGTGCGTCTGTGTGTGACTATATGTCAGTGTGCTTCTGTGCCTGTGTGTGTGCACACATTGGTGTATGTGCCCTGTGTGTCAGGGTGTGTGTTTTTATGTCAGTGTGTGTATCTGTGCCATGGTGTGGGCATGTATCAATGTTTGTGTGTGTCAGGGTGCATGTGTGTATGTCGGTG